CCGATTGCATAGGAATGAGGGAGGCTTTGGAGAACTGCTCTTTTTGTTTTCCTAGGTCTCCCTCACTCATCTCCAGCTCATCTCTAGATTATTTTCCAACTGTGCTGTAAAGCTCTTGTGAGACATGCACAAGCCATCGAGCAGACACCAGGTTGCACCAGTGGAAATGAGGAAAACTCAAGTTCTACCTTAAGATGGAGAAAAATTTCCTAACATTCCTGTCATGCTTATAGAAGATCCAATTTCATTGCCTACCATCAAAAGCAAATGAATTTATGAAGTGTCCAATGAACACACAGTTTTAAACTGCCGCAGGGGCTGAAGAAGTACAATCCCAGAACATTTCAATGCAGGAGAGCCAAGACACCATTACTTCTTCCAGAAAATACAGAACAAAGCAAAAAGCTTCTTGAGTCAAGACAAGTCTATCACCCAGGTAGACTCTTCTCCAAGTTATACTACTCTTTTTTTTCACTGATTTTTGAAGGCTAGAAAAATATGGGCACATTTACTGATTTCAAAGAAAATACAGAGACTTCCCCCATCATCTCTGCTGCACGCTGCCTCCCCTGCTCCCTGGAAGGAGGCCGTTCCAAAAGCCAGGTCCTCCCGCGTGCTGTCTGTGTTATCATCCCCAAATGGGTTAGATTGTTTGCAAAACAACAGCTAGTTTAAAGCTACAATGCTACTGTAGCAATCAGACATGACTGGGGAAGTTATCTGAAAAACAACCCAGTTGAACTAGCTTAATATAAACCTTCCAGTCTTGTTCTAGAAAAGAAATGCAAATAATGTGTTACACACAAATCAGCCACAGGCTGCAGAAATACAAGTCAAGTTTCCCTTCCTCCTGCACTACAGCACTTGGCTCTGCAGAGCTCTGTACATTACCCAGAGCGTCAGAGGCCAGGAGAGAAAGGGGCTGCTGAGTGGTGTTAGAGAGCTCAGTGCTGCTCCTGCTGTTACAGCTGCTTCTCCAGGAGGAATTAACAGAGAGGGAACTGGAGGCAGTGGGATCAGCCATGGAACTTTTTGCACAAAAGCAGATTTCTATGAAAGTGAGTGTACTCAGTCTTTCTGCTTTTAAGGCACAGCCCAGGATTTCGTCTTTTTTATGCACTATTTTAGCAAAGCAGAAATAAACCTGCAGAGGAAATTAGTCAGGTAAGGCTTCCTTGGATGAGTAACACAATGAAGTGGCTGTGCTGTACAGAAATACAAACCAGATGAAAAATAACCAGAAGAAACAGTCAGTGCCAGTGTGCCCAGCTGCTGTGTCCATGGGACGTGGAGTCCTTGTTCTCATTCTCTAGCCAACGATATTGCAGTGGACATGAAATTTCTGGAAATGCCACGTTTTTGTGCTCAAATTCCTAACAGGACTGCTGTCCATCGCAGTGAAGCGTACAGCTGGAGTCAACAGCTCTCATTTCCAGTCCCTCCATCAGAGCAGGAGGGACTCTGCTCTGCCTACAGCCTAACCAAGCACAACAGAAGCATTTCCAGTGTTATTTCATTGGATTAAGATCTAGCAGGAGCTAAGATCCAAACTTTCCACAAAACCTAGTGCAAGCACGTGAAGAAAGGTGACACCAAGAAAGGGTAGGAGAGTCTTTACTCACCTATTAGTGAATTCAGAGAAGAGTAAGAGCTGACTCGTCTCATCTTGTCAATAGTCTCAAACGACAGGATATACTCTTCGTTCTCAGGGCTGCCCAAGGTGCTGCTGGCGCTGCTGCTGGTGCTGAGATTCCCAGGAGAAAATGCAACAGAGCTTCCAGCTGCCAAAAGACAAGGAGGCAGATGCTGAAACAAGAACTGGCGAGAGAACAATTTATACCCAGGAGTAACAGCCTTTTTCTAAATCCTACAACACTCAAGGAAGGTGTAGGCAAATCCACAACCACCTCTTTTAAATACTGAATGTTTAAATACAGAGTAAGCATCAAGGGGTCAGAAATGATCCAGTTAAAAATCCATGTATGTTAGGAAGTTGGAAGGTACCTTTTTAGTCCCCAAACACTCAGAAAAATCAATACTAATGACCAGAAAATTGAAACTAATTATGAGGGGGCTTCTCATCTAAGCCCTTGGAGCTGGCAGCTGGATAATCTGGGCTAAAATGTGAGTTTCAGTCGATGTTGTTTTGTATGTGGTATTTCTGAGCTTGCAGGAGAAGGCAGGGAAGGAAGAGGCAAAGAAAAAAGCATTTTGAAATGTCTCTTACATTCTTCATTCAGGCTGAGGTTCTGCAAGGACTTGTTCAGGTTCCTAGCTGTGGTAACTGCTCGGATGTTCCCGTAAGAGCTGACGGACCGCAGCCTTGGTGTACATGGACCATCTCGTACCGGTGTCAAACTCCCACCCTCTGTGGATGCAAAATTCAGCACTTACAGATGTAACCAAAGCGATTGTAGGCTTTTGGTTATTGCCCAGGAAATATGTAACTGAAATGCTACCAGTATGAACAGAATATAGTCATTGCCCCTTAGGCTAGAACAGAATGAGGTATGACAAAGGATCCTCTGTGCACATAATCAGCAAGGACCGTGTGTCTCTGCTGTTTAGGCTGTGATTTTGTTACACCCAATAAAACCAGGTGAGCCGAGCCTTGCCAGTGCCTGCAGACTACCCAGAGAGCAGTAATGACTCTTCTCTCCAGGTCGATGCTGGGCCACTGCCCAGACACTGTGCTAGGACACGCTGCTACCGCAGACGCCGTTTAGCAGGCAGTGTTTGCAGGCTTCTGTCTGCTTCTGCTCGTTAAAAACACAATAAATTTTCTCATTATAAATAGTTATGAAAATTCTGGTTTCCTGACCAAATTTCAGGCCTGGTTTCAACTCATATTTCACCCATGACCTGGACGCTTATACATTCCCAAACTTTCCCAGTTTCATTCCTGAACACACGCACAGCACCATGGCTGCAGAATCGCCATTTGATTTCACTGCAGAGGTGGCTGCATTGTGGTGGCGGGGCCAATGCTTCCAGCACATCCTACTTATAAATACTTCAGGATTCTTTTGGATAAGGAAAAGCATTATATAAGCTGCATGTAATGTTTATTTCCTGCAGCAAAAAGGACAAATGGGGAGAAGCTTATTTTCCAATATGATTTAGTTATTCAGACAACAGGGAGGTTAAACTATTCATTGCAGAGACAGCACGTGCTCTTGTCTCCAAGTTTCCATTGCAACAGTTCCATTATCCTTCAGCACTTCCAACGTACTTAAAATCTAAAGAAAATATGAGGTTAGCAACAAATTCACTAGGGCTTTTCATTCCTCATATAAAGCAAAAGACACAATGAAAGTCATGGGACCATAGGCACTGAGCATAAAGTTCTTCACTGCTTCTTGTCTGGTGCTTTACAGTAGCAAAGTGTATGGCTGGTTCACTGCTGTGTAGTGAGGCTTCTCATTAGGTCAACATGACACTGAAGTTTCAGGTATAACTTCGGGGGGCGGGGGGGAAAAGTCTGGTAAGCCCGTGCTCTGCTTTGACAAATATACTCCAATCCTGATGTGAAGGGAATCCCTTTGAATTTGACAAGGTGTTCAGTCTCTACAACTGCTGGTGAGCTACAGCCGTGTTTTAGATGGATACTCAGCGGAGGATGCATTTCTCCAACACAATATATTATAGTGCTAAACAGGCATCAGAGCTCCCCACCATGTCACTCAGCTCTGTAGCAACGGTGCTGTTTGATAAATCACCACTAGCAAGAAGTGTTGGGCAAACTCCTTAAATAAAAGTTCCCAAGTACTTTCAGGCTGTACATTTCCTGCCCACACAAACAGGAAACACCCACCTGTGGCGGCTGGAGAAGGGAGAGGGTAATTCTTTTCTTCTTCCATGAACTGCAAGGCCACGGTGCAGAAATTACTCTCATACTGAACCACCAGGTGACTTAAAGCCACCACCAGTTCCTACGGAAAGAGCAGAAGAAACAGGTATTTCATGGTTACGTAGGTCAGAAACAACAGAACAAAGGGAAACAGAGAATTAGGTCATTATGGTATTATTGGGTGGCCATCCAGACTAATAATTTTCCCTTCACAGGGATGAAATGAAGAAAGCCAGAGCGCTCTGTTTCAAATCTAATTCTTCACAAGTCTTTTGTACCTGAGCAGGCTCCCACGACTCTGACCAACACTGTCAAACTGATGCAATGTCAGGAAGTACTGACCAGGTGACTCAGACCCGCTCCCACTGCTCCTGTGCACACAGCACGCGTGTTTCCTGCAGCCCTGCACGGTGTCCTCAGCCCTCCCTGGCACAGCCTGACCCTCTTTCTGTGCTGCACACATACACACAGAGCGGAGCTCTCGTCCTACAGCCTGTCCTACATTTTCTCTGAGCTGAAGGAAAACAGAATCTGACAAGAGGCCCCTGGGGACATGGCTCAGCTCTTCCACGAAAAGCCTCGGTGTCTGAATCCTATGCTGAACCACAGAGTCCTGTACTGCCCTGCAATGTCAGCAGCCAGCACGAGGACAGTGCTGCCTGCCTGTGAGGCATCATCAGTCCCTTCATTCTCAGAACTGCAACTTGAGAACCTGAATTACTGGGGTGGGGTGGGGAGGGTAGAAAAGGTGAATGTCAGACCCTCGGTTAGACGCCACTTGCTAGGCACTTGGAAACAGCAAAGAGCAGAGGTGGAGAGCTGGTTTTGGTTGCTGTTCTCTGCTCATGGACTAGTCTTCAAAAGAGAGATTTATGAATCTCAAAGAGCATGTAGTGTGACACGCAGTTCTCTCAAATTGAACTGATTAAATGCTGGAACAAGACAACAAAAATTAATCCTCACAATGCTGGTGACAACTGTCAGGGTGCTGATGTTCCAGTTAAGTAAACACAAGCATTAGGACACCTAAGTACACCCAGCAAGAACAATCCAGAATGTCAAAAACTATTTAATGTGCTATTGACATACAGTGGTACATCAGAAACTGTAATTCTCCAAAACCTGGAGAACTACTTTGAAACAGTCTGTCATCCGTCCTTGTGGTTTCCAAAAGCAGCAAGATCTTTTTACTGAACAGAACTTTCATGTTCTCTCTACAGCACTCTTACTCCCTTCTCCTCTTCCTCCCCTAGGACTATGACATACTCCATGTTTCTAGCAACACATCACTATTTCATTTAAAACCTGAGATCCTGTAATGTAAAATATTGCAATTAAAACAGTAATCAACAAAAGAGCCTTAGTAGAGAGTAGCCCAGTAAGAATTCTCAGTGTTTTGTGTACCTGAAAAAGACTTCAGGGTAATCGCTCTCCTTCCTTATCCCTATCTTCCCATTCTCTTTAAATTAAAAAAAACCAGGATATAAAAATTCCCACAAACCCCAGAGATTGTTCCTCCTATTTCAGACATTTGCTTAGTGGAACACATGAGCTAAATCAGAGGTCCAGTGTTAAACAGCAGAAACATTTCGATCTCAACAACAATCTTGTCGACACCTGGGCACGATGACACACTACACTTGACTTGTACTACTCCTGTCAGCAGGCTCCTTAAATTGCAGAGTAAATGAAATGTTGCAATATGAGCATTGAGAAAGGGCAAGTGGATGAACCAGCATCCCAGAAGGTTCCTGCAGGTGAGCACCCCGAGCGCACAGCGTAGGCTCAGCGCCGAGCCTTCAGCCACAGCAGCAGGTCAATGCTGCTGTTTCCACT